TCCTTAAAATTCAGGGAAATTAAGGACGCATTTGAGGGCCGCATTTCGAGCAGCCTTTGAATTGGGACAGCCTTCGTCGCGTCGCTGTGACGTAATCGGCCTTAAAATGCGGCCTTTAAGGCTGCAGACCCTGAATTGGGATACAGCCGATGTATACACACACAAGGTAATCGGGTAATCACACACAGGAGATCCTAATACACATGATGACTGGAGGACACAAACTGAACACAATGACAACAGACAAAGACCTTCAGAATAAAACAGGAAGTCTAGAACATGAACCGGACACAAGGGGGGAGGACACAGAATACCAAAATCAGAATAACTAGAACAGAGGAAAATAATCATAAAACACAAAACGCTGGGTCAACGACAGTACCATGACACCTCTTTAATATTTTGTGTTAGTAACCTAAAGGAACAGTACATGACCTATGTGTTAGGTTTACTTTCATACATCACGAAACATCTAACAGTCTTCAAATTTGTCTTCTTTTATCTTGAAGAAGGCCTGAACCTATGATGCGAACTACTAAAATTTGAATGAGATAAGTGCTTGTCTTAACCGATCCCTGGACTTCCTAAAACACTTTCCTCTCCATTTATTTATTTTAGGTTGCTGCCAAAAAGTACTGCAACTTTGAGATTCCAGCCCATTTCACAGGCGTGTGGAGATACCTTAAAAACGCTGACGAGAGAGACGAGTTCAAACAGACGTGCCCGGCCGACATTGAAATTGAGAAGGCTTACCTGAGCGTGGCCAACAAGAGGAAATAAACATCTCACTCCTTTGTTCTGTTTTTTTTCTTTAATCAATTGTAACCATGTGTGTAGAGATGGTGATCTGTAGAGGGCGCTGCAAACTTCAAAAATAAACTGTGGCAGTGAACCAGACACCCTAAAATTCTCGAGCTCATATAGCTTCAGAGCTCCAAGACATGCTAGAGTCAAATGTTTTGGCATTTACTGTTTATCCAGGTCACTCACAGACAAAAAAAGGCCATATGTGCAATTGATTGTTGATTTATATTTAGTAGAGTTTTGTTTATAGTGTAAATATCAATATTTTTTGCATTTTACAATCAAAACAGCCACATAGAAATATGTATGATTGTGTTAGTGTGAGCGACGGCTGCGTAAACAGTTCATTTTTATGTAAAACACTCCTGTATATCTTACTGTGTACAAATACAGTTTCACTGAATTGTCACACACTGTCACACTAATGAAAATAAATATTTCTTTGTCATAATCTGGTTTCTGTCATTCATTTGAACTTTCACGGGTAAAACCAGGGAACGCGAAACGGCATTTCTGATATTCAAGTTTATTTTCAGCCACACAAAAAAAACATTTTACAGCTTCAAAAATATATCTTCTGTTGATCCGGTGCAGGCGATGAATATACCACGTGGTGGGAAACAAAACTGGTGATGAAGAGGGAGAGCGCTTCA